GCGCAGTCGGCGCAGCAGTTTTCCGGTTTGGCTTGGTTGGTCGTGCCAATGTCGTTGCCCGGGTAGTCGGTGTTCTCGTCAAACGCTGAGCAGGCGCCGTGGACCGCGGACGCGACCAAAAGGCCGAGGTACGATGCGATCACAGCTGCGCGCTCTTGCAGTGCAAAACCGGCGGGTGAGAGTGTGGTTGGGCTACGAGAGCGTCGTGGTGATTTTCTCATACCTCGCGCGTCTTGAGTCTTTTCACCGTTGACCGTGCGGATCTGCAGATGTCAGAGTCCTAGGACGGTTCATGCGTCAGTCAAGAAGAAATGCAACGTCTGTCGCATAGGTGCAGCCACAATCGTGTGGCCACCGTGGTCGACGTCGTCGCGAGCGATCCCTGAGTCAAATCCCAAGCACGAACGGCCAGCGATTTGCGTTTGCAAAGAAAAAGCACACATTACCAAAATCGACATTTTGTACAAAGAAATGATGTCACACAGTATTATTTGGTCTTAGCACTTGCCGGACCCGGCAACGTTGAGGGCCAAGTACTGGCGGCCGAGCGATTGGCAATGGTCGTACCACGGCGAGTTGTTGGGGTACACCTTGACGATGGCCTTGTGCAGCGCCCACCACATACTGCGCTGCGACGAGAGTGACGGGTCCTTCATGTTGATCGTGTCGAGCCAGCGCTGGTAGCCCCAAAAGTAGTTTTGCGTCAAGCACTTGCTCAAGGTCGCGTCACCGGCGACGCCATCAAAGACAATTTGACCGGCCATCGCATGCAAGACGTGGTCGACATCTTTAAACTGCTGCGAGTTGACGACAGCGTTGCCAATGCCCTTGGCTTCAGACTTCATGAGGCCGACGACCACCGACCGGAGCGCCGCGACGTTGGCATACGACTCGCTCGGACGGTCCATGGGCGACGCAGCCTTGTTGTTCGGCAGATTCGACATGCCGTCTTCGGACAGCCGCAAAAAGTAGTGGACGGCGTTCCCGAGCGTCACCTTGGTGATCTGGTGGCCCAAAAACGTCATGATCTCGGTCTTGCGTACGGGATTGTAGAGGCCAAAGAGCTTGACAAACGACTGCGCCGACGCCAACGTGCCAGCTTCGCGCGCCTGGTACCACCCGTCGCGCGCACCGGCATCGCCCGCCGACATGTAGATCATGACGATCTTGGTGGACGTGGACGCAAAGCTGTCGTACAAGTTGGCCGACATGAAGAGCTCGTGGTCGTCTTGGTGCGCGTTGACATACATGTGCACGGACGACGGCGAGACCGCACCGGTGGGCAGTGAGCTTGCGGCGATCCAGCCGAGCGTCGTGGTTGGTGCATACGCCGGAATGAGGAGCTCGCAGCGCTTGGCGGCCGCGTCAAACGTCGTGCCAAGGCAGCCCGATGCTGACGGGACGCAGGCCTTGTGGCAGTCGGCCGCCGACGCCATGTTGGCCACCGCCGTCTTGGTCAACCCGGTCGCAAAAGCCGCGCTTGAGAGAACGACCGGCGACGCTGGGTAGTTGACTAGCAGCGTCGATGTCGTTGCCGCCGCACTCGCGGCCTTGACAAGCGTACACTTCTTCGCACTGATTTCGAAACTGAAGAGCGGTAGCTTCTTCTGCTGTGCGGCCAAGGCGCAGTCGCCGACAGTCTTGGCGGTCGTCGCCACTTGCGTCGTGTACTTGGTCAAATCCAACGACCGCGACGGCATCGTGAGGTACTGCATGCTGTTGGGCACTTCGTTCCACGAGATCGGGTCCGAGACCCACCCGGCGAGGATACCAGCTTGCTTGGCGGGCGCCGGGCCATAGAACGTGCACGTCTTGTCGGTGTACGTCACGGCTGCGCACGCTGCGAGGCTGCTGCACCCGGCTTGGCAGCCGGCGAGCGTCGACGACGGGTTGGTGTCGACACCGAGTTGAAAGTCTTGCGGCACGGCTTGGGAGAGCACCATGGGCGACTGCGTCGGGAACAAGGCAAACGTCGTCGTTGTCGGCGACGCAAAGTTGTGGACGACGCAGATTTGCGTCGACGGAACGTACGTGAAGAAGGCGTACCCGGACGAACTCGTCATGACGGCGCACTCGCCCACCGACTGCGCCAGCGGAAAGTAGAGCGTGTTGGTGCCTTCTTCGAGGAGCGGCTTGGGCTTGGCGTCGTGGGCCGCCATCATTTCGGCGGGCGACGGCAGCGGGAACGGCTTGAGAATGTCAATGTCGCCAATGTCGCCGGCTTCGAGCTTGGAGCTCGGGATCCATTGCATGTTGGGAACGTACGCAAACGCGACCGACGGCGACGGGTACGAGCCAAAGACGCTCGTTTTGATGGCCGACGGTGCCGGCGCCGGTGTTACGACGGGCACCGGTGCCACCGACCGCGTGTAAACACCGGCTTTCGCACCCGGGAACGGCGACGGGTCGGACTTGGCGCTCTTCAAGTAGCAAGTGCCACCAAAGTCGTTGGACCACACATACAGTGTGCACCCGTTGAATTCGGCGCAGTCCCCACAGCAGTCGGCGGCCGACGCCCGGCTCGTCGAACCAATGTCATTGCCGGGGTAGTCGACGTCGTTTTGAAAGTCCGAGCACGTGGCCGTGTTGAGGCGCGGAAGAATCGACGCGCGGTTACCAACAGACTTGACGGGCGACCCGACAGCGGTCTTGAGGCGGCAGGCGCCCGACATGGCACTCCAGACAAACCCACGGCACCCGGGCGTCCCAGTGCAGTCGGCGCAGCAAAACTCGGCGGCCGTTTGGTACGTCGTCGTCAAATCGTTGCCAGGGTAGTCGACGTCATCCTGGATCGCCGGACACCCGACCATCGGTGGTGCCGTCGGGATACGCGCTCGGACCGTCGCGGCGCGGGCCCCCGGCGACGACGTCTTGCCCGTGTTGGCACTCTTAAGAATGCACACGCCTTGGGACCAGACGTAGACCTTGCAGTCGGGGTTGGCAACACAGTCGGCGCAGCAGTCTTCGGCCTTGGCGCGGTTGGTCGTGCCAATGTCGTTGCCGACGTAGTCGGTGTTTTCCTCGATCACCGAGCAAGTGCCGTCGGTCGCCGGCGTCGGTGCCGGCGTCGTGGTGTTGCCACTGCCCTTCGGGACAAAGGACGCGGCGGTTGCACCGGGAAACGAGCTCTTGGTGCCGCCGCCGGTCTTGAGAATGCACTCGCCGCCGTAGTAGACAAAACGGGCACAGTCCTTGGTCGCCTCGCAGTCGTTGCAGCAGAGGTCGATGGATGCGCGCTGGGTGCGCCCGAGGTCGTTGCCCGTATAGTCCGTGTTGGCCTCGACAACGGGGCACGAGCCGGTGAGCGGTGGCACGGAGACGACCATCGTCGCGGCACGAGCTCCCTCGGCGTAGGACTTGCCACTGCTAGCGCTCTTGAGCAAGCAAACTCCGCCGTCCCGCGGCGCCCACACATACGCCTTGCAACCGTTCAAAGCGGCGCAGTCGGCGCAGCAGTTCTCGGCCTTGGCTTGGTAGGTCGTGCCAAGGTCGTTGCCGGGGTAGTCGGTGTTGTCTTCGAACGCCGAGCACTTGCCAGTTGCCGGTGCCGATGTCGGCGCTACGGGCGGCGCGGGCGTCGACCCTTTGGGAACAAACGACGCGGCGGTCGCACCGGGAAACGAGCTCTTAGTGCCACCCGCCGACTTGAGAATGCAGTCGCCGTTGTAGTAGACGTAGCGGGCGCAGCCCTTCGTGGCCTCGCAGTCGTTGCAACAGAGGTCCATGGACGCCCGTTGAGTGCGACCGAGGTCGTTCCCGGGGTAATCGGTGTTGGCCTCGGGCGTCGGGCAGGACCCCGTGAGCGACGGCGCGGACGTAAGAAGCGTCGCGGCACGGGCGCCTTGCGCCGGGTACTTGCCGCTGGCCTCGCTCTTGAGCAAGCAGACGCCACCGTCCCGTGGCACCCAGACGTACGCCTTGCAACCGCTAAAGGCGGCGCAGTCGGCGCAGCAGTTTTCCGGTTTGGCTTGGTTGGTCGTGCCAATGTCGTTGCCCGGGTAATCGGTGTTCTCGTCAAACGCTGAGCAGGCACCGTGGACCGCGGACGCGACCAAAAGGCCGAGGTACGATGCGATCACAGCTGCGCGCATCGTGGAGAAATGAAAACTGGTGCTTGGGACAGCCCAGTCGGGACGGCCCCTGCCAACGTGTGCTGTATGTCATACCGCCTGCACTGGACAGATGTGACGCACTCGATACAAGGTGGGACGTACGTGCGGTGGTGCACTATACTCCGAGTGTCGACCAAACAGCGTCCGCCGTCCCTTTGGCGCAACCACCTCTGCAAGCTGCAAACTGCAAACTGCAAACGGCAAAATCACTGCGAACAGTTTCAGTGGTCTACTGCTGCTATCGCTCGCCAGCTCGCTCTGCCACACCACGTGAAGGTACCTGTACAGTGTAAAGATGACAACGTACGTCTACCCATTTACTGTACGCGACCAAGGTCTCACACGGACTGGATATGTCGGCGGTACAGAATTGGTATCCAACCAGGTATCCAACCAGGTATCCAACGGCGTTTGGATCGCTCCGGCTTGCAGTTGACAAGCCGTCATGCGTGGGGTGCCGTGCTCTTCACTAGGGATTCTTTAGTAGATAGAGTGCAGGTGCCTGGCGTGCGGCGTGGCAGACACGCTGCATTGGTAGTGGATAGAGGCACCACGGGGTGGTAGGATCCTTCGGGCGTGGTGACGCTGGCATGGGACGTCGGTCGTGCGATGTGGTCGCGTCGGTGGCACTGGATGCAAGCATTCGTATACCCAAAATATGATGTCGTCTTTCCGCCGACAACATCTGGTTCCGTTGCCAGATGGCACGAGCCAGTTGTGTCAGAGACGGCGTCCGTCGGAATCAACCGCTTCGTACCGCCAGCATCCGACAACGAACGAACGAGCACGACGACCAAATTGCGCCAATGATGACCGTACAGCTCTATTCGTCCACAACAGCCAACGTTCAACCTCAGCAGTCTTTGAAATCATTTCCAGGCTAACGACGTGTGGTCCATCAAGGGATTTTGGGGGCAATGAGCTGCCGTTGAGCGCTCTGCCTTGGGTACCAAAGAACCGTGTAACGTGTGCTTCGACCGCTGCAATTACTGCTAGGTGTCTGTCCGAAGACCACATATCCACCGTGACAAGCAGCAAGAAGGCGATCGGGTGCATCCAACCTTCCGCACCGTCGAGCCCGTTGTCGTGGCTGCAGGCGACAAATATACGTCTGCATGTATTTGTACACACTTCCTTTGTGGACACTAGTAGAGGTAGTAGCGATACATTTAGCGGGAAGGTTTCTCTCATTGGTCCATTCACTCTGCATAGCTGATGGCGTCGCAGCGCCTACTACCGCTAAAGGAGCCGTCAACCACACCAAGCCCACGAACGCGATGAAGCAAGAGCACACAGCATTGGCCAACTTGCAAACCTGTTGGAGCCAGGGGCCAAAGCACGGTGTGACAGCGTCAAAGGAGCGGAGATCAACACGATGTGTTCGGCTGTAAAGACCAACAGTTAGCGCAACGGGAACACGTATGGACGAGCCACAGGAGCGACTCGAAACCCAGTATTCTGCGCGCTCCCCTTGCTTCACCATAGGCGTAAGCCTGGACATTGCTCTCATACTAGCCAAATGAAGCGACCACGAGGGCGACGATGGGGCCAACACGGGGTAGGGGTAACACGATCGTTGTTCGTACACAGAGTACACCCAGCCCAGTTTGGTTACGCGGCCGTCGTCGGCTTGGCCGCCTTGGCAGGCGTCGCGGTCTTGCCTTCAAGAAGCCTACACCTCTCATTGTCAAGACTGCATCCGATCGGGTATGAAGGTACCGCAGGACTTGGACGTCCAGCTTGAGCCCGTCAATTTGCGTAAGGAGCGCATGCGATTTCTGCAAGTCAAACTTTTTGTCCTTGGCCAGCGCCGAGAGCTTCTTCTCGTACGCTCGGTTCCACATGTTGGGGTACGTCGACTCGCGCGTCGTCATTGTGTGATAAAATGACGACGCAAGGACCGCTGAGAAGCCAATAAAGTACGTGATCGGCTCCATAACGTCCCACGAGTAGACGTCCCAGACCGTGTACGCGAGGCCGCCGTAAAACTATCAATCTGTCAAGTAACTACAGCACCAAACAGTACGAACGTACGGTCGTGATGAAGCCAAGGCCGAGGAACTTTTGTACGTTGGGCGCGGTCATCGCGGCCTTGCGGAGCTCCGTCTCGACCGTCGCAACTAAGTCGTCGTGAACTGAGGGGCGTCGATTCAACACATGCATTGCAGTACCCTTGCGCCACTCTTCTTGGGCGTCGAGGATTTGACTCTCGGTCGCCATGCGCTCGTGCTTGAGGTTGTACAAGACTGGGTCGAGCGCCGCTTGGAACGCCGCAAAGCTCTCGCCTTTCTACGCAGAGTGTCCACAGTCGTGAAGACAGATTGTCATCGGCAGCGTACGTTGGGGCGCAGGATCACGGTCGACCGCAGCGCATCGTCCTTGCTCTGGTCGTAGTGCAGCACGAGGTTGCGGCGTTGGAACTCGGCGAGCCACTTCTTGGACGTCGAGTCGTCGGCGCCAACGTTCTTGCACATGGTGTAAAACTGGTCGATCGGAATCTAATGCAATACAATCCAGCGTGAGCGAGCGACGGATGGCGCCGTCGGCGTACGGCCGTGCGCGAGTCGCGCTCAATGTAGCGCTTGACGGTGCCAAAGGCTGCGCTCTCGGTCTCGCCCGTCATCTGGTCAATGTCGTCGACGAGGCCTTCCTTCTCGAGCGCGAGCGTCGCCGTGTTGAGGCGCAGCAGCATCGGCACCGGTGCCAGCGCCTTGAGGCTCGCCGTCTTGGCGACCGTGACTCCATCTAATGTCGTCAGCGACACGCTCGTTAGCGTCGGGTCGACCTATATGACATGGCCATCGTCGCATGAGGCGCCAAGGTTGGGCGAACGGCGCGCACCGTCTTGAGCGTCGAGATAAAGTGGCCGACCGAGTCGCGCTCGTAGGCCGAGGTCGGCGCTGTCTCGAGGTTGAGCTTCGTCAAGCCTGGCTTGCCGGGCAGCGGTAGCGTAAAGGCCAGCGGCTCGGACACGCGGCAGCGCACGGCGAACTCGACAAAGTCGGACGTCGTCAGGAGCGTCGCCGCCGTCGAGTGCGCCCGCACCAACGTCTTGCGCCACGCCAGCATGGTCGACTGATGCAGAAGTGACTGCGATCTTCGACCGGTCGCTCGACATTTTAAAAAATGATTGTATTGCATACGACTTTCAAGATATTATTTGCAATGCAATAAAACTACAAACGAAATTCGGCGGGCCGATAGGGCGAGTGCAGCTATCATCCGGACTTTATCGGGCGCGCGTGGGGTACATTTTGGGGTTGGGACTAAATGCACCCAAATTCAGTGAAACGCTGGTTTCAACAGGATTCAAACACTGTCTTCAGCAGCCTGCATCTATTCCTGGCAAGCGAAATACAATCATGTAAACTGAATACAACTATGCAATACAATACGATGAGTTTATTCACCCATTGGTCTTTATTTAAGAGATTTTCAACCAATCCGATACAATGCGGTGCGGCGAGTGCGGCGCGCTCGGCAGCGCGTCGGCCCAATCACGCTGAAAATCGAAAGAGCCCAAACTTGGCATGCAGCTGCAAAACACTTTGGAGAGCATCATGCGCGAACTCATGTCGACGTGCGAGTCGTACAGCCCGAGATATAGCTGAAATTGGTATTTGTGGTATCTGCCATATATAGACACATATATATAGCCACATTGCACCACCCAACGAGCTCTCCCAACGTCCAGCTCCCATCTCCACGAAGGCTGCGTCAATAACAGCATTTGATTGCATTTACCACAAAACATTCGTCCTGTCTACGCATGTGATGCATAATATAGCAGCCCGCTTCTTCGGTCCGTCGACCACACGCAAGTACTCTGGAGCGTCGTTGCCCGATCCTTCTTGGTGTCGTCAGACGATGATGGGAGGCAGCTCGTGGTCCAATCTCGCGGGCGGCATCTTGGTCGAGGCAGTTTGCGCGCGCCGGTGCCTCCAAAATGACCGACACATGAGTAGGATCGCCCACAGCAACACAAGTAGAATGACACCGGCGAACGCGAGAAGGCCGCCTTGCATCGTCGCACTTGGCCCGTGGTCCAGTCGGCGGGTCATTCGTAGGCTCATGCGTCGACGCGCGACCTCAAAGAATGAGCCGTCAATGGACGACCTCGGTGGCTTCGAACGTTAGAAAGGTGATGCCTTGCATAAACACATGTTCGATTTCGAAAGCTAAACGACGGAGCTAGTTAGCATAAGTTGGTGACTGCATTACAGGCATCCATCACGGCCGACGGCCCACGTGTAGTGTGTAAACAGCAAAATTTAACCGTGTTTGATCGCGGCGATGCTGTCCCACCACCGTTCGGTAGTGGGTAGTGGTCGAGGAATTCGACCCAGTTTGGTAAGGATGCCCGCTAGTTGCCCCATTAAAGCACAGCGAGTAGCAACACGTGGTTGCCATTCGAGTGAAGCGCGGAATCGAATCAAAGGGTATATGGCCTGGATAGCCATTGGTAGTGGCACGGCATGGCGCACTAGTCTAGGAGTGAGCAAGTGTCAACACAATTTGACGGACTAGAACTCTTGATTTGGCGCGCAGCTGCCAAGCGACGAACAGCGCGTTGATTGTTGTACGATAACACGGATCCAATGAAATCGTATGTAGTCGATTCGGCAAATGTACATCTATGTAGGTACGAGGTCAAAACGACCACTTGTGGGTTGTTAATGATAACGTTGTCGGTACGACAGCGAGTCTGTGTCGATGTACAAGGACGCGGAGACAGCACTGGACGCGATGAACGACGAACGCGACAGCGCTGGCCAAGCCCAGCACAATGGTGGCATTCAAGATGACGTTGAGATGGACGGTAGCGACAACCGGTGGCTCAAACGACGCAGCATCTCTCGCCCGCATCTCGGTCGGCAGCGATGGGATCGTCATTTCTCTTGCTTTTTTCTTTTTTCAACCGAAAAATCCAGCGCAAATGGTTGCCGACGAAGCTTTTACGTGAGAATACAAAAGCGCGGTATCGTGTCGGGTCGTCACGTGACGCGCCGACTGTTTCTCCAATGTCCACAGAGACAACGAGGAACTTGCGTTTGTGGTCGCCAGCCGTCAATATTTCGATGGTTTGTGAAGACGCATGAGTTGTTTGCTGTTTGTTGTGGGTTGTCGCAGGCACAATCGAATGCAAAGAATCGGCCACAAAGCCGACACGAGATCCTGTCGGAGCATTTTCCATTTGGCGCGACACGAAGATGGCAACGGACACATCGATGACGGCGAGCGGAGTGGCGTACCCGCTATGGTTTCTTGTGCTGGTCGCGGTCCTTTTCTGCGCCGGGTTTGCGTGGGCGACGCTGCGCTGCTGCTTTGGTCGGTCGACGGATGCCGAGACGGTGTCCAGCAAGGAAAAAGCCGATATTATCGACGCGACGCGCGTGACGTGCGTGAGCGAGAGTCCGTCGTACACCCACGCGTCGACGCCAGTGTCTGCGATCGACCGCGTGTGAGGTTGTATCAAGGTGTAGTATCGAGAGAAGAAGGAAGACGAAATATATATTTACAAGCACAATGTGTGTTGGAGTAGTACTGTGGTGGTGCATGCGACGATACTGGAATGTCATCCAAGCGTCCCGTGTGTCGAGCAAAAACTTGTGCGATGGTTGGATTTAAAAAGATTGGAAACTCCCAATGCGGGGCTCGAACCCGCGACCACACGATTAAAAGTCGTGCGCTCTACCAACTGAGCTAATCGGGATTTTCTGACTTCAGGTCATTTTATATTGATACCGACAGTGCAAATATAGATTATTATAAACGGCAGGGTCTAAGGCCACGACAACCACCCACGTCGATAGACAATTATTAATCATGGACTTTGACTGCATTGCATACCAACCGTCTATCACCGTGCGCTGCAACACAAGGACTCGCACGTCGCCACATCGACCAATCAGAGAGCGCCAATGCCCAAGATTTAGGTACTCTAAAACCACGCAACTTGCACCACTCAGACTTGTGCATCGCATTTCTTCTGCAGGGTGAACAAACGCAGCTTCCGCAAGGAAGCGATGCGGCTGGCCGGGATGCCTCAAACCACCTGCATCAGAGCCCCAGAGACTGCATATACCGCACTTGGGCAGCCTGAAATCGGCTGGGACGGTATTGAGGCGTCCACCCCATGTGACCGTCGCTACCGGTGCGGCATTCGGCAATCACAAGCTCACGCGTTTGTACTGGCTTGACGATGGGTCGACACGGACGCGCGAAGGCTTGTTCGGCACGTAACCAAGTGTAGGGTCATCGTCATTGCAGCGCGACAACACAGACTTACGCGGACCTCAAGTACAGATACCCGCAAGACGTCCTTGCGTGGTTGCGGGACCGAAACCCTGGTGCGTGCTGGGTGTTTTGTCCATGACGCCCTTGTGTCACGCTGCGCTTGCCTGGACTCGCTAATGGTTGGCAGGCGTCGCCATGGTTCGCACACGCTCCTCATGCTCTGTCGTCGCTGGCTCGGCTCCTCGGCAGTGACAGTCGCTGGCGCCACTGTCATCTCCCGTCGCTTTTTTGCCTGGCGCGCGCTGTCGAGCTCCGCGGAGGAAATCACAAGAGGTCGTTGCTAGTGTTTTTGTGCTGCCACTGACTGCCACTGCCGCCGTGGTCGTCGGCCTTCCGCGCCATTTTGACACTTGGCGTTGGCGAGAAGCCATTCTGATTCCAATCTGACAGCCACTTTGCGCTGGATGCCTCCTACAAATTCATTCATAGACGTATTCGCCCATGTTTCGCAAAAGCTTGGGTTATATACATGCTCTGGTA